TCAGGCTGGTTGTCATACTCTTTGCCATCCCAGTAATGCTTAAACCCACAAGAGCATCTGGACGTCCCTGTAACTGGTGTAGAGGTTCTGTCACCATTTTGATAGACTGGCCTTCCATCAGGCTTGACCTTCCTCATAGAACCTTTGCATAATGAGCAGTTATTGACATCTACACCCTGAGGAAAAAACAGATAACTACCTAACAAAACATGAATTAATTATCATGAAGTTCAAATTAGATGCTATATCTTTGGCCTGCAACCATCACATGCAACCCAAGCCATCTTTAGAACATGGCTACAGCAGTCTTTGAGGTCAAAAATAGTTGTTTAATTAATATCCCGGTGAGAGTTGTAGCCATAGACCTTTTCTGAGATAGAAGTTCGCATTGTATTGTGGTCTAGATTTGGTACAAAAATCTTTTGTTCATGCTGCCAAATATAGCATTGTTTGCCGAATAGACCACAATTCTCCATGATTTTGAATTTCAGAAATGGTCATAAGGTTGACTTACCATAGAAATGCTGCATGGAGTAAAAAAAAAACTGGAGTATTTAGTGCTATTGACTTACTGAAGATTTTTATGTTTTTAGTGTGTGTACATTGTTTACCTTATATTTCGCCACCTCCAACACATCTTTGTCAGGATTGTATGTACAGACAAGATTATGCTCAGGAAATGAGTACATCTCCCCTACAGCTAACCCCCCCTGGGCCTGTGCAGCATGTGAAGCAGAAATATACATAGACCCCCCTGGCATCAGCCAMTCTTGATTGACAGGGCAAGTGAGCTCCGAAACAGAATTACAAGACAGACACCTCATAAGCAAKCCCATAGACACTGTCTGWGCYGTCCTGTCAATCACTGTCTTTGGACGCACACCCACTAACCCTGACGGCTTGAATATAAACTGGTGAACCTCAGTGACAAGTGCGGCTGAGATTTTGTTGATTTCTAGGAATTTCTCATCCATAGCTTTCATCAAACGGCCAAGATATGCATCACTCATACCCCTAGAGCCGCCRATAACACACATGTTRTTTGGCTCAAAGTCAATATATGCCTTGATMAGYTCGTTYGGTATACCCCAAGCTTTGGGTACCACTCGACCAGGAAGTTTAGCTGGTGGTTTACCACGCATGTTTACWAGKGGTATATAATGGTTACGACCAGAGCTACTCCATGCAATGGCTAAAGGTGGTATACGYTTGCCRTCTTTGGTCTTACACAAGTGYACTGGAACAAGMGCTGGTAGAAATGTACCAGTATAGTCAGCACTTGATTGGATTCCTGATACACTGTCCAAGAGGAGTATAGGCCTRCGCAASACATTTGCCAASCCRAAGATATGTATGTTYCTGAGTCCAAGGGGTTGGCCATCRTKAGGTTCATAGTCAGGRTCAGCCTCAGAGATAATCAAATCCCATTCATCACGGCTGATGAAATCTATAAATAAAGTTCTGTACTTGCCTATATTCTCYCTTAAATGATTTTGAAGATTAATCATTAAAGCATGCCAGAATATTTCTCTGCCAATCAGCGCACGAGATATGGCATGCACCAGACAATAACCATCGCCATCAACATGAAGTGGAATAAGTCTCTCTTCGTTGTCATTTTCAAATTTTACTTCTTCTAAGAAACCACGAAGATAAATCAGAGAACCRGACTTGTCTTTACCATAWCCTGGTGTCTCTAAATACTCTGGTTCAATACTAAAAGCTCTAYCGCCRACATTTGCACAGTCAAAATACTCTCCTTGGCCCATATCTCGTAGAAGTTTTGCTTCAGAAGTGCTTTTCTCCATTCCGTGATAAGTTAAAATTGGAGATAAAATTCTACAGTGATAATTCGAATAACCTCTAACTTTAACTAGGTCAGTTCCTTTTTTCAAAGCAGTTCCAGTGAGTAAAGCAGATCGCAAAAGACTTCGGAAAGCCTCTTCCGAATCGTGTACAAGTTGCACGGACTTCAAAGCATCCTTGCTGAAATGTTTCCCACAACCAGTACATTCTATACTCGATGCGGCATAAGAAGGAAAGTAGAGCTTGGTTTGACAAGCTTCGTCAGGACAAATGCCACTAAAAACCCGAATTTCGGGCTGGTTGGACCACATCTTTTCTCGGAATTTGTTAAAATGAAAGTCACATTTTGTACAAAGTCTGTAATTTCTTGTTTTGGCTGTGAATGAAAGGAACCAATGCGCATGCGTCTAACCGTGGAACTGGAACACGCGATGCACAGGAAACCCACCTTTGATAAACACTAAAATATTCCAGAAAATCCGTATTTGCAATTTCTTTGGAAAATGCAGGAAGATTTAAAAAGAGCTAAAGAAACAGGGCAATATATCAATTAAGTGTGACGCCAGTTTGAGAGTAAACATGTCGATTCTTTTATTGAATAATTTGCAGTCAAGTTCTATAAGGATTTTGTCAAGTATTTTTGAAATAACACGACTATAATCAAACTAACTGTACAATAACTGAACTATAAAAAGTTATACAACAACAGCGCTTGTAGAGAACTAATAAGTCGATGTCACGCGAACACTGCAGAGAAACGCACTACGCATGCGCTTGTCTAAGTAACAAAATGGCGGTCGAATCAATCTCGTTCCCAGTGTCTCTCGGATCGATCTTTTTTCAAAATGGCGTCACGGAGTTACACAAAATTATATATATTTCTTACACGTTATTGAAGGTAAATATGCGAGTCCGCTGTGATGAGAAAACCTTAATTTTTCACTTTTGTGATTATTTTCAAGACTCAAAGCATYAAAAAATTTATGTTGTCCGGCTAGTTACCATACGTCCGAGCGTGCGCCGTGCGTTCCTCCCAAGTTTGTGTCGCGCGCACATTTGACGGCATAATCACACTTGACGTTCGACTTACATTCAGTACAGTCAGCTCACAGTTAGCACAACGAATTTATCAAAATGATAGTAATTATAATCACCTGTGGAATCACAGCGGTCGTTGTGGTTGTAGCAGCGTTATACCCTCAATACATTCCTACTGTATCATATTTGATTTCTTCATCTCAAAAAGGTAAATTTTGTGTGAACTACATTACTGCCGCGATTCACCAAAATGGACATCATATTAATTATCTCTAATATATCTCTAATAATCTATAGGTAAAAGACTTTTAACTAGCGAAAGCAAAGAAGCTTCAATCAGCAAAAGCTCCGAACCAGGTGAGGAAAACGCAACGAAATATTTTCGTGCGAAACGGAGAAAATGAGGAAACTAAAGTTACGAAATCAGAATTGATTATTCTCATCAAATTTCCAGTGCAAGCAGGCTTAGCCTTGATTCTATGTGTAAATTTAATCGCTATTCCTATGTTTTCTATAGGGACCAGACTATTCCGTCTAGCTTTGAACTAGAATTTTTTAAAAAACAGTCAAAGTACTTAGCGAATAATGATGACAATTTTAAAAACTTTTGACTTTATGTCGTTTTGAATCCTGCTTCCGATTATTGCTGTGGCAAAAATTAACCGCCTTCAGCATTACAGCCTTTTGCAAAAATTATGAGAATTGTCTAAATATCTAAATATCATAATATCCATATCSATATATTGTCTGGAACACGAAGGTTTGCTAGAATAATTCATTGTTGACATCGAGAAAATGTTAAGAACTACGGATAAGTCTGTTGCCAAAAAAAACACTAAACTACAAAGACAAGGGACTAAGGGCATCGCGCGGGATTACCCATCATGCACTCGATATTATGATATTTAGATATTTCAACAATTCTCATAATTTTTGCRAAAGGCTGTACCTCGCATAATATTACATGTAATAAGTTTGCCGTTTWCTTAGTTCGCTTCTTTTCATRTTCATCAGGTGAAAAAGAGATTTCACTGTTCAATGATACCGTCCCAARGGAAGACACTTGTTTCCCATATTTACTCAAATCAGATGAATATAACCCGCATGTTCCTGATAATTGGCAAAATAGACTCCAAGTATCTAATGAGATTCACAAGATACAAGTAACAAAACCAGGTAGGCCTCATTCAAACAGCGCATAGAATATTAAAAAATTGATCATTTATCATCCTTTGGGTTTAAAGTCCCATGGTCAACCAGCATTCAAGCGCGTTTGTGTTTTAGATTTTTCATATATGGAAAATGAAGTGATTTCAAATATCCATTCGCAATCCGTTTCCATCCGTCGGTTTTAAGGTCGAATCTTATAGTATCTCCATTCATAGAGCACAAAGGGATAACGAAGAGTAAGTTTTTGCATATATTACGATGTATTTCTATTTTCAAACATAAACAAAAGCTCGCAAGGGATGACGGTTGACCATGKTCCTTTAAAACACTTCATTTTGAGTCAAGCCCGAGTAAAGAGCTCCTAAAAGTTATATAATGTACCTCTATCAGGGAGAATATCTAAATTAATAAATACTTTTTTCATTGTTTACTTTCAGTACATGAATATAAAGTCAAACCAATCTGCTATTTTGATCAAAAGCCCAATTTTACCGAACACGGTAAGGAAATAAAACATTCTTCTTGTCTCCCTTCACTGATTTATTGTACAGTGAAACCTCGTTAATCCGGCCAAATGAACAAAGACAAATTGCCCACATTAACGAGATATCCGTTTAACTAGACAGAAAAGTATGGGGGTTAATTCGTCGGGACCTAAAACTTTGCCCGTTATGACGGGGTGGTCGTATTAAGCGTGCGTGTAGTGGATAAGCCGGGGTTCCAATGCAATTTGTGATCCGAGATAACTGGACGATTAATGTTCATGYTTCTTAGAWTGCCCAAAGATTGACAGMGAGAATGAGTCGACTGCCACACCCTMTTTYGRRCTTCCGTCTTTRTCAGCTWACRKCATTGGCCTGGGCCTGGCGGGACTGGTTTGTTTCCTYTTGGTCCTCGCTCTGTTTCTGTAAGTACACAARCATTGAAWTAAGTATTGCTAACTGGACCATGATATCTAGTTCACTTCGTTCGTTTTCTAGAATGAAGTCCAAAAACCCGTGAAATATATTATACACTAATACACCTTAGTACGCTCTAATTGCATTGTTTTCTTTTGTGTCTATTTGACTTTCGCACTTTAATAGTCATGTTTTGTTTCACGGGTTAAATGACTACACTCTATTGTCTAATCTACACTGTATTGCGCTATTTACCACTATTTGGTCAGTACTTTTTCACGCTTTTAATGTTTGCACTCAAGTACAATTTCACGGATTGCGCGCGCTCAATCTTTTTGTTTGTGGTTTACAGGTTCAAAAGACACGATGAAAATGGTAACAGAAAACAAACAAAGTCAAAAACAAAAGCGACCAAATCGAAAATGTGGAACGAATTTGAGTTACATGAAAGGCAAATGTGGTCTGAAGAAAAACAATTCTGGGCTGAAAAGTTTCGAAGAGAATGTGAAAGAATTTGCGAGAGCATCAAGAACAAAGGCAACGCCTTTGATTTGAAGCCAAAGAAGAAGCGACGTCGAACCGTAAAAGGAAAGGCCAACCGTGTCACTTGGACGAAGAAAGTCAAAGAGGTTCAGGTCATTGAAAATAACTTGCCTCTTAGTTTCAAATAAGTCAATAGGGCGTCACCTTGTATCACTGAGTTGTAAATATAATTTAAACTGCTGGGCAATGTTGTAAATAAATCACTTTTTTATTTTTATTGATTAATTAAAATTATACACACTATAAGAAATTCTCAAAATGTTGTTTTTTCATAAATTCAAAATGCATATCGTTACGGTGAACTGAATTTCCTCATGTATTCACAGGGTCTGAATGGGGTTAACCGACTAGCGACAAATTGACAAAATAACTCTGAGTACTGACTAGCGACAAATTTGAACAAAATTTGCTGACTACCGACATTAACAAATTTACTGACTGGCATGCAGGACTGGCGACATTTTCCAATATTGCCAATATTGGAAAAGTAGTAAAATTCTAGACAAATGCCTAGAATTTTAACTGACTAGCGACAAATATTTGAAATTTTAACTGACTACCGACATTGAGACCCCCCCCCATTAAGACCATGTATTCAAGTAATTACTGAAAACCGAGAAAATAGGCTATTAACTAACCCGAGGGTCAATAATCACCTATAATGCAGTGCGGTTTTTGAGTACACTTTTTTAGTATTCAACGTTTTTGAAAAGGCTGTACACTGTGCCCGAACTGTGCCCGATACGGCAGCTCATTCTAAGACCGCAGTGCATCGATATTATTTATCATTGACAATTCTTAGTAATTTAATCACTTTTCAATGAAGTTCGTCACTGTACGAAACTGGCATGGATTGGAAAGGATTGACGTCTGAAAAGGCCAAGCCGGTAGAAAATCAATATATAGGTCTATATAGATATGTCTTGCGGGGGCGTACTGCTCCAATTTTAATTTAGCGTTTAAAAACGCTTTCAAGATGAACCAAAATCAGTTTATATATATCATAAAACACTGGGGAAAAATCGCGAGCTTTAAAGGTTGTAAATTTGATGTAAATACGATGTAAATGTCCAAAATTCTGTAAATTTAATGGAAATCATTTACATCAAATTTACAGAATTTTGGACACTTACATCATATTTACATCAAATTTACAATCTTTAAAGCGCGCGATTTTTTCCATTTAAATGACTTAGCATGGATTAAGATTATCTATGGATTTCGCGAATTAAACAAATGTTATGAATCGCCCAAAACTCACACATAAAATCACTTTAGTAATTCTGTTTTGGGACGTCCACATCCTCACTGGCCGGTCTTGTCGACTATTTGATGAACAACGATAGGGACGGGGGATCTAACTTATCTTTGACAGCTACGATTAATTCAACGTTCTTCTGACTTTCATATTCATTTCAAAATAATTAAGTCATATTATTCTATATTTAAGCAGTCAAAAGAGGGGATGGATTACAGTATTTTTTTACAGAAATCAGTAAATCAAAGCTCTCGTTTGGTTTGTGCAGTGTGATTTCGAGTTTCGCATCATTCTCGCCATATMATTTTTTTTCCTTCATGATTAGATTATGACAAAGATTAAAGCTTAATCTATTTTCAGTAAGCGTTTTATAGTTTCATCCGATGTGTTAATAGACGTATCCGTTTGTAAGAAAGTTGAATCTTCCGTTAGCGGACATCTTTGGGAAAAAGAAAAAAAGAGAAAGTGWGAATTACAGTCTTTATATCGAAGGGAAAAAAAGTTGGATTTTTGACGGAAAAGCTGTCCACAATTAGAGCTGTCCAGGTAACAGAGCGTCCGCATTCGAATGTACTCAGAGAAGGCCCCTGACAACTTTCTACTACATCATATGATAAAAGCCCCCTTTTCACGAGTAGATATTTATGTTTTGCTTGTTTGCTTATAAGTTTCTTTTTAAAGTATATTCTTTTGTGATTTGTTTCCTTGTTTATACGCTTTTTTTAATAATTACTGTTTCTCATCTATTTTCAATAAACTCGATCACTTCAAAAAACGTTCTGTTCTTCTGGAGTGAGAAAAAGGCATCTCAATATACTCCAGGCACTAGCTCTGGCACTTTCTAATTCATTATTTGATCAACTTAACATCGATTTTGGCATACGTTTCAGTATTTTATTAGGATAGGTAAAGAAAAAAGATTTTGTTTGCTCTTTGTAGAATCTTAAAAGGGAGCTCTGACACCTGTGAGACCGGAAACGTGAATATCATTGGACCTATCATGACTTAGGTAAATGCATTGMGTTTGTCAGCCGGAGCACCAAAAAGAGCAGCTAAATTTGTTTTTATTTTGCGCTGAAACTTAAGCCTACCATTAAAAAAGTGACCGAGGATTTTTTGCCATTTATTCTGCTCATAACGAATGCACTGTGTGTCAAATTAAACGGCCAACTTACAGTGCTTAAAAAACAACGGCTGTAAAGTAATCAGAAATYCGGCAGAGCAGATACACTCGCAAGTGCAAGAATACCGACTTCATTAAGTCTTACGCAGGAGCCCAAAATCAATCAAAACTGTGGACTTTTTTCACTCAAACGTGAGTAAAACCTTTTTATTGACATTTCGTTTAAACGACGACTTCAAGATTTACAAGACGTAAAAGAAGAGGCCAGAAGTAAGACAAAATGTCAAGGAATAACTCGTTGGATTTCACCAAAATAACTGATATCTGTTCATCACACTCGCTGGCTGTGCAGCTAAACTTTGAGCGTCCAAACTTTATCTTCTGGTCAAACGTCATAACTTGTGCTTTGAATGCTATCTCATGTATAACTGCTGTTGTCGGAAACGCTCTGGTTTTGATTGCCATTTTGTCGTCTTCAATGCGAAGACAACCTTGTATGATAGTACTCTGTTCTTTAGCAATGGCTGATTTCTTGGTTGGCTTGYTAGTACARCCTTCGTACTTGATYTACAAAGCTGCGGAAATAAATCAACAGTGGATTGCTGTATGCTACACAAAGCTTGTTCATGTAAGCGTTGGTTTTACAACGACTGGGGTCTCGCTCATGAGTTTAATGGCTATCGCAGTTGAAAGACTTCTAGCCGTTCACTTRCATCTCAGATACGTAGATTTAGTCACAGCCYATCGGGTTAAGCTCGTAATTRCCTGTCTTTGGATAATATCYATCTTAAACTCCGCTCTACAATTCGTCGATAAAGACATTTTYCAAGCYATCGTCTTTGTTATGGAACTATTAAGCATTATYATAGCGTCTTTGGCTTATCATAGAGTTTACAAAATCGTTCAACGCCATCGCAAAGAAATCCAAAAACAAGTCCCGAATTGTAAAGAAAGAATTGATGTTGAACGCTATCGCAAATCCGCAATGACCATGTTTTTAGTTTTTATGTTTTCTCTGTTTTGTTATTTGCCCTTTTCTGTWTATATAGCTCTAGAAGCGGTATATGGCTTCACACCTAGTATCAAAGCCCTCGCAAACATCGCAACGACAATAATATTYATCGTAAGCTCATGTAATCCWTGTATCTATTGCTTTAGAATCCAAGAAATACGTGCAGCTGTTCGRAAACTTTTAYGGCRYAGAAGGAGAKCATTRAGTATAACTGTTGCTAGCAACAGYAATCCAACGAACTCGCGTTAAAATTTCAGCGTAATTAACGCAACGTATATCACCTTTCRGATTTAGTTTTGATTACWKTAAAAAACGCMTATAAAATCACTCATTTTGGGCGAAGTTCAGCCCGATTGTGTTGTTATTTGATGGCCATTTTTCCTTGTAAGAACAGTGCTATCCCAGAAAACCCGAGCCACACTTCTCAGTTTAAATTTTTCTAACATTTTACTCATATTTTCCCAGTTTAATCAGATTAAAATTATGATTTATTTTGTAAAGAGAAGCTTATTCTGCTCTTTGGCCTGAAAATAATTCCTTAAATTAAGATTTTAAGCAGGTGAAAAGTTCAGAAAGTTTAAAACAAAAATTAAAAGTGTTTACGGCGCGTTGAGCGCTTACTCATAAAGGTTTTCGCATGATGCACGATATTAAAAAATATAATTAAGGTGCTAATTTAATTAAGTTCTCGGAAAGCATAGCAGAATCAAAGAAAAACGTGCAAAATAAAGATTAATAAAGTCTAGAACGTTGAAGAGTATTTCACGGTTTTATAAAAACCAGCATTCTACCGCAATGAAAACGGAATGWCACAAAAGCAGGAAAAGTCGAAGGGACCCGTTCCTCTAAATGACTGCTCCTTGTACGGACTTTTTCCTGGAAAAGGGATTTGACGTATTTCCTTCTTTAAAATARAATTGTTCCTGGCAAACGTTTTTAAGGTCAAAAATGGCTTTTATAACGTTTTCATGGTCAAAAATGGCTTATATTTTTTAGTTAGGAATTTTTTATTATCTTGTCAAAAATTCTTAGAAAGTATTCCTTGCCTGGAGTTCTTTTTACTGAATTACTTGCTGGCAACCAATTGTGACTTACAGCTGGCTGGGACATAAGAACAGATATATTTCTCCCAGGAACCCGTCGGCTCCTCCTACAAAAGTGTTGTGCAACCCAACTGCCTAGCCTAAGTTTCAGAYAAGCTCAGTAACTCTTGAGAAAATTTGAAGTACTTTTCAATTTGACGCACAACGCYGGACAAAATGTGTTGCCACCTCCTTTCAAAATGTAGTATGTCAGTCTGATATGAACTTGTATCTATCGTGCATTATAAAGTTTTTGATATATAACGCTTGATATATAACGCGCGCTCTGATTGGCTGACGACCGCGAAACAATTTTTTCAGGTAAGCCTGTCTCTGTCCTCTGTTTATATCAGAGGACAGAGACAGGCTTACCGGAAAAAAATTGTTTTTTGGTCAAAAAGCACAGGAAAAATTTATAAAAGAACTATAAAACGGCCGCTTGTGTCTATGTACTTTGATATAAACACGATGGGAGTTGAAAAAACTTGCTAAAAAAAGCTAAAAAAAACTAAGCTTGCTTCTCGTGTTTTTTAAGTACTCCCATCGTGTTTACATCAAAGGACGGAGACACGCGCGCCGTTTTACGGTCTTTTACATTTCTTTTTTTTATAAGTCCTCAATGTGAAACGATGCAGGTCATCGTCTACGAGATTTCCACACTGAATTAGGTGGGGACGGGGGGGGAGGGGGTGGCTGCTAAAGAAACGGGAAAAGAAAGGTGCCTTAGATACGCAAATTTAGTTCATTCGCAGCTTTCCTCCTCATTGTGTGTCGTTACGTTTAAGAATCACAACCAACCGCCGTACCTTGAGAGCCGAAGCGCCATTTCTAGGTGGATACAAAACTAATCGAGAGATTTTTCGTAGGATTTCTTAAGGTTAGATCGTCTTCCATCCTTTTCATTTGGACAGAAATACCTTTAACTAACTATCTCACAGGTAATCTATTGTATGCTTGACGCATTTAAAAAACAATAAAACAAGCGCGCGCGCTGGTATTGTGTTAATGTTTGGCTGGGATTCTTTAAGCATACAAGTGTTGTCAAGGCCAACGGCWGYAGGACATATCCATAATATTAAGCTAAAAAWACAATCAATGCTCGAGAAAAATAGCTCATCAAAACTGTCACTCTTTTGTAAATACTGAGAAATAGTGTAAATACAGCGGTGTAATTTCACGTTACATCGAGAATGTTGTTTGCAGTGATAAATTGATAAATCCCGGGGGGGGTGAATTCCCTATAAAACATGGTAGGTATGCTCGACGGACGGATTGAATCAAGCCTCCAATGGCGACACAACTCGAAGATTGTTAGACAAGTATACCGTGGACATAAATCTKTATGAAGCCTMAGACTTTGTTCGGATATGGTCTAATTTCGACAAAAATCTATAAAATGAAAATATTGAACTTGAAATTTTGAATTTAATAATTTACATGCATCCGTAACACCTTAAAGATATCGACAATGAATTATCAACACCATCACAATTTCTTAGTTTGAAGTTATGATACTTTCACTTTGAATGCTGACCGTTAAAATATATATTTTTAGTTCTTACTTGTTGTAATGTCGTCCGTGCATCGATTTTTTACGAAGGATAAACTAAAGTTTATATTTATATGAATCGATGARCATTAAATACTGATCGACATGGCTATAACCTCTAATCGATTAAAGTTATGAGCTCTTTTCTTGTTTCAATTTATGGAGTGCATAAATCTGTTACCCAAGTTTTGTAATGAAATGGACAAATTCTTGATCTTAACCTTGTTAAAACAGTACAGTACGTATTCTGCTGCTCTGAAAATTGTCAGTCGGCGAAGTCATTATCAAACATATTAAATAATATTCCCATTTGGAGCATTTTTATTTATCATTACGTTTCAAAAAAGGTAATTCTGTCTTTCAAAAGCAAAAAAAAAAAAAAACGCAAAGGATAAGAAAATATGAAATGACGTGCAATTTTACTTTCCACTAGTAAAAATGTAAATAAAACAACTTTGTCGCAAGGATTTGAAGATTTCACCCAATCATACAACCAGATGTTTAATGATCAATTGATGCTCGATATATTCATAAGCAATTAATGATTTCTCTGTACATTTGTGACAAGCATGGATAGTTATGCTACTCATAGTTCCAGCAGCCAATAATTAAAAAAGTTTCATTTCTATTGTTTAAATAAATCAATGTTAATATAATAATAATAATAACTAATAATTTTTATTTCTAGATTTTTTATTTCTGTTTATAGACAAGGTATCAAAATAGTTAGAATATCTAGAGGACTTCTGGAATGATTCCTCTTACACTAGGCTCCTCTATTAATGTGTTTTGTCTTGATTGGAGATCCTAAGATTCGTTTCTCTGACGTCAGGCTAAGTTGATTGGGTTGAAGACCCTGAGAGCTTCTCCCGTGCTAGCACAGGGGGGAAAAATATTAAAATGGCTTTAAAAATCAATCTTTATTCATAAAGCTGTTTATACTTATTAAAGAAAAAAGAAAAGAAAGAAAAAGTCTTGAAAAGTCTCAAGAAATGAAGTAGAAAAAATTTACGGCTTCATGAGGGCTCGAACCGCGAACCCCGTAATTAATACTTTGACACCGCCGTGAAAGCAACACAACCGTTGAGCCTGGGCCCCCTGTGGTGCTAGCTTAGGATTTCTTTCTCTCATCAGGCCCTAAACATCCTGTGTGTTTCATCTGCTTGGATTCCTTTCCGTTCTTTTCTTAAGTCCTATTACTTGCTGGCATTTGCTGAAGTTCAAAAGAACATCTTCTGTTCTGTATTTGGTTCAATRTCTTTCGTGGACACAGCGCTTTTTTTGCTGCTTCTCGAAAGTCACGCAAAAATATGATGTATATGAAAGKACTGAAGCAGGAATTGACGATGGGCAGAAAAGTCAGTGGAAATATGATTATAAAGGCTTTACAGGATGGATTGGTCCTGTATGCATATGGGAATTTTATACCCCAGCTGAAACTATTGAAATGCARCGTCATAGCTGACGTACTAGCTTTGAAAAGTAAACTTGGAAACCAGCAAAATATGTAGAGCAAAACTGAGCCAAGAACCATTCTGACGGCTGCTTGCGATCGTTGYATTCGTATTTTTCGCTGCTCATCACTGATATTGGCATGGATGGCTTGAGTTCTTGACAGTCGTCGTATCGTTACAATGCTCAGAATGAATATCACAATGCAGAGAATAAAGGTGATAAAGTCGAAAAGTGCAATAACACTTTTCGTAAACCAATCTTGTACTCTTCTGTAAGGATCATAAGTATGACAAAACAAAATGGTGTATACTTTTTTGGAATAGGCGTAGCAGACGGCGACTGCCATGGGAGTCAACCAAGATACACCAACTATCATCACATATTGTTTCAGTGTGTATGGCCTTGTCCTTTGCAGTGTTTGTCGTGTTGCTCTGAATCGTTCAATACTGATCACAAATAAAGTGATCAGAGATACTCTATATGAGACATGTTGGAAATATGTCAGCGTTTTACAGATYATGACGCCTATGCCGCCGGAGTATGGTAGCCATGGATCCAGTATCATCATGAAAAGGAAAAGAGCATCTGACACGGCCATGTTGATGATCAAATTATGCAGGTTCTTGCGTACTGTGTATTTCAAGGCGAGTATGATAACAAAGATGTTACCAAAAATCCCCAGTGCAATGAACAATGCGTAGCCAATGGTTCCTCCAACTGGTTGCTTTTCATAATAGCAGGTCGACGGGCCACGGAAAGACATATTGATATATGAKGAAATATTGTGTGAAATGATCGTCGTAAAATTGATGGTCGTGTTGAGAAAATGCGTGTAATTGTTTAAAGTGTTAAAATTGTTCATCTTGCGAAGATGACTATTCACTGACAATCTTTGAAATGATTTCAACCCGATTGAGGTCTTACTCCTTTGTACAACAGCAAGCAATTGTCTGATCTCTCAAATATAAATAACGTGTCATTGAAATATGAAGACTTAACGAACCAATGCATAAGAAAACTCTTTATATGATTGGCTGCTTTAGCTGCTACTGGGACATCAGCTCAAATGAAAATTAATTGTGAAATAGGTGTTTTTTGACAACTGAATGACGGACTGTTTTGTGATATATATATATGGTAACGACTTCACTTTATTATATGAATGTTTTTTAATCAACTGCTAAAAAT